TCCGAGGGCTCTTTTCTCGAACAGTAGGTGCGATACCTGTTCTTTTCTTTCTTTCGATCATTTTGTTTTCTTTTTCCGAGTGGTTTGTATCCTATTTTTGTTTTTTGTTTTCTCGCGGCGTCGTATGTGCCGGGTTTTGAGACCACGGGCTCCCCATTTTTTGTGGACTATAGAGCTAATGTGAGAAACAACAAAACAACAACTTGCGTAAAAAATTATTGCGCCGCATTTTGGTTTCTTGCACGCAGCGGCGCCCATACGATTGTTGTGTTGTTCGTTCTCAGCAGAGCCAAGCTGAAAGCGTCACCACTACAGAGCCTTCCATGTGTTATGTCACGTCTTGACGTCAGCGCAAAGGGCTGTGAGCTTGGTATCGAAAGCACATGCATGGGCAGCAAGAACTGCCATCACAATGTGGCGGTTGGTTACTTTTTTTCCCCTACAGATGGCTATGTACAGCTGGATGATACTCGCGCAAGAACAAAAGGCAAGTCAGAGGCATCTCAGCCGTGGACGTGTGAAGAAGGCAGCAGGCCGGGTTGACTCACCGTTTGCATTCATATCTAACAGGTACGGTTGTTCTTGTTGTTATTCTCCGATGCAGGATGGAGGATTGCCGCGGACCAATGGTACATAACAACAATCAAGTGACTACGATTGTGATTGTCATATACCATTGCCGCGGACTCCCGCCAAAGGGGCAACGCAACATAACTTCCAAAATCCGCGTGTGTTCACCATTCTGCGGAGCCTCCAGCCAGGAACCGGATCCATGCCGCGCTCTCACATCGCTTGCCGGGTGGCAGACACGACAGAGCTGTGATCCCATGGCAGTCCGCACTGCGGTTCCAAATTCAAACGACGTAGAAGAACACAGCCGATGGAGCCAAGATGAGGGCGCAGGGCCAAGAGAAACGAGCCAGAAAATGCTATGCACGAAGATACGAACCCAAGCCAAGGAGTTGGCAGCGTTGACGGAACGCCTTAAGGAAGAGGCGGCCTACTCTCGGCTCGTAGAGAAGCGTTTGGTTGAGCTGGACCCTGACCACTCGCTTCCGGTAACCCCTCGCCACCTAGGCCGCTGTAGTCCGGAAGGCACTATGGCTCATCGCAGCGGTGGCGGTGTTGGCGGGTTGGGTGGAGCGCATCACCAGCACAAGGCCGATCGACGTTCGAACGAGGAGCATGATCATGATGATGGCTTGCGTCAAGGATACGAGGCGGCCCAGGCACGGCTAAGGGACGCCGCACAGCTGATCAGGACACTCAGAGAGGCGTTGGAAAGCAGGTAAGGCTCGTTCTGGTGAGGAGGGGCAGGTTACGGAGAGATGCTTCTTTTTCCCTCTCAGTTCTACTGCTGTCAGATGTCGGACAAGTGAGAACAAAAAGGAGATTCGTCTAAATTGTACAAAAAGACTTCCACTGTTGCTGTACCACATCTCGAGCGGCGAAGCATCCTTACTTTGTTCACCCATTCTCTCGCCCCTTCCAAAACAGTATTGACATTACCGGGGGGGGGGTTCAGGGGCGATTCTCATTTTGCAGCCAGAGCTCAGCCTGACTCCATCGCCGGGGTCTTCCCCACCACAGGTCTCCCGTGGTTGCTGACCTGGTATCGTGCAGGACGCCTTTCTTTCAAGAAATGACCGCGTTTATCAATGTTGCAGCTGGCCTGTCTTTTTTTTTTCCTTTCTGGGAGATGTGTTTCCTACACAAACCCAGGCTGAACATCGGGTTGGTTCTCACTTTCTTCACGAATCAAGCCCTGAATTGCTTCAAAGGTGATCATCAGCACGGTGTCTCGTACCGTAAGCGAAGGGTACGCGTCGCGTGTTCGACGGTACTCACGTTCCACCTCGTGAGCTCATCCGCCTGCAGTTGTTCGTTATTCGCGTCGTCATTTTCTTGTGCGACCCAGGCTCATGCTTCCCGAAAGTATACCCAACCGTGGAAAAACTGACGCCCAGAACAAACGTGACCGATACCCACACACAACGCGCCCAAAGCTGACTGGCCCATTCCATTCCTTGCCCCGCGATACTCTCAAAGGGACGCCGACGCAAACGCAGCCGCAAACCGCGCCCGAAAATACCAGCGTGAAGCCGATGATCTCCGCCGACGACTAGAAACCAGCGGTGGTAACGTTAGCCGGGCGAGCAAGGGCGGCAGCGGCGGCGGCCGTGTCGAAGAGAATCCGACACGCTCTTCGCCATTGGGCGCAGAACAGGGCCATGGAAGGGAGCATGGGGTTCGCTTTAGTGATGATGACCGGGCCCGACAGCGCCAGCAACATGTTGAGCTCAGCAAGGACGTGGAGCGGCTTGAACAAGAGTTGCAGGAGCAGAGGGAGGCAACCGTCGCCGCTAGAACCGAGGCGAACGGGCTCCACGAGACGCTGTCAAAGGTGGGTTGCGCACACAAAGTTACGATTGGTGTGTTTTCTTGATGTTTTACGTAAATTACAAGCTAGTGATGCATTCGTAGACCTTTACCAGGGGGCTTGCCGTGAACGACGTTGTGGTTTGGTACTTGCATGTTAATGGGAAAGAGACGGGACAGCCGAGGGTGTTTTTTTTTTCAGGTTGCACCCTAGGAAAAGCGAAGTACAGGCTATATGATGGCAGGCTACAAGGGAACCTCGTGCCGGGAGAAGCTCCGCGTTTTGTTTTCTTCCTGCTCTACACCTGTTACAGGCTATGTTTCTGCCACCCCTCTCAGCCCGGACACCATCGCGCGCAGAACAGTCATGAGCGTCATGAGTGTTCTCGTTCCAGCAAGAGGAGCATGCTGCTCACCAGCCGCCCCTCTAGTATTTTTTCCGTCATCAATAGTGGTAGTGCGGCCTCATCGACCATGGCTTCCTTATCACCGAAGTGCTTTCCGCTGATCCCGTCCTTCTCGTCGTGCCTCCATCTTCCTCCGTACTTCAAAACAATGTTCAGCTTCGACAATCGCAACATGTCGGCATTCTCAGTTTCCAGAGGGAGGATGCCGCAGACAACGCTAAGGCTAACGCCGCAGAGCTGGCGCGACAGCTAGCGCGCGCTAGGTCAACCGCCGAGTCCTCCAGAGCAGAAAATAAAAACCTACGTCGCCAGCTGCGGGAGTTAGGGGGCGGCGGAAGCGACCAAGGCCGCGGTAGGGGTCGTAGCGGAAGTGGAAACAGCAGTCATATTTCCAAGACAATGCCGTGCTCAACAGATATCGCTCGCAGTAGCAGTGGCGACCACGCAAGTCTTGCAACGGTAGCGCTTGGGGGAAGGCACACTCTGGCAGCAGGGTCCAAACCAGCACTGGCGTGCGAATTGGGAGGCACGAGGGCTGCGAACGTGGAAAGGGGTGGTGGTGAGAGCAGGGGAGGAAACGAACTCGAGGCCGAAAAAGAAGCCCTCCTAGACTACGTGCAGGTGAGGCCTAGCTGGTCGTCATCTTGTTTCTGTCGAACGATGTGGTTGTAGTGGTTGATCTGTGGATCACCTCCCCATTCTGTCCATCACCGTTGGAGTTCGCAATGGCGATACCTGTGCTCGGAGAGAACAAGAAGATAGATGTTGCTTGTATGTCGCTGCCGGTTTGTGTTTGTGTACTGTTTACGGTTGTTCGTGACCAGTATTCTAGATTCTAGATTTGTGAAGACTTTTGTCACGGCTTACCTCCTACAAACCTGCCACAAGAACGCTACCGCTTATTCATTTTTGCTTATTGTTTGGTTGCATGCACGCGCGTGCGCTAGTGTTCAACAGACGGGCGCGGTACACGTGTGGAGGGGTAGACAACCCCCTTGATCTCGGGGATGTCACAATCCGCATGTCAGCTATAAGGCGGGAAACAATACCGAATATAAACCGAATTACTGGGCCAACACTTAACCAACATCGCCACATAACCAGCAAAGGTGCAAGCTTGCCATTTGACGTTCTAGTCTACCAGGTGATAGAACCATGGCAATTGGTACAAATGTTCGACTTGTTTGCTTCCGGGGAGGGGGATGATGAGGGACGTTTGTTTGCATTGACAAGAGAAAATGCACCGAGAACCAATTTTGCGTTTCACGATTGCTGGTAGTGGCCGAAGGACTTGAGTTTTGGAAACGACAACAGAGGAGGAGAGTGCAGGCATACTTGGCTGTCATCTCAGCTCGAGTACACTTTCTGTGAAACAGAAAACCAGGTCGAGAAACATATTGATTCCTATTGAAATCGGTCGTGACCGCGCAGGACTTGTTGGGGAGAATCAAGGGGTTAGAGGCCGCCTGCGCGAGCCTCGAGCGAGAGCGTGGGGAAAGCTCAAGAAACATTGAGAAGACGCGCGAAGAGCTTCAGCAGAAAGAGAAAGCTATCGCCCAGGTGGGTGTGTTGTAGAACGTGGTAGGTCAAATCATTCAGGGTCACAGATCACTCCACAAGCAAGCGTTTCGGTGGCCATGGATTGCGGGTTGCCTGCAGGATGCCTCACACGAGGTAGGGAGGGTTTGCACGTGTGGTCCATCTTTCCTTATCGTACATGTAAACCTTGCGAAACACCTTATCAAGGAATTGAGGTATGACCTCGAGCCCGCGAAACGTATACTATACCTACATCCACAAGAACATTCGAGATACCGCAATTCGCGATGCCGTTGTCTCCACCCTCCATAATCAAAACAGAAGCTCTGACCCCCACCCATTACATCTTTGCTCCCGCGTTTATCCAACAGGCGTAAGGTGGATCACATCGTCGTGGCCGAATAAACCCAATCACGCGGAAGTACGGCGACGTAATATATACTTATACAGACAACTCTTTGCATCCTTTAGATTTTAGCCCGATGAGCTCGTCACAAATGCGTAGCTGTGCGTAACAAAGAGAGGCGCTCAATACCCACGTGCCAATATTGGCGAACACCAAAAGATAAGCAAGTTAGCTAAGAGTCCACCCGATTTTCAGCCCCATGACCACAAGTAAACCTGCTGTATTAATGACTTGAAGCAGGCGTCGAAAACTGACCATGGGTCCTCGATATTGTGCAAAATGAACCGGACCACCACCACAAAGACGCAATCGCAGATCGAGGATTTGCAGAAGACGGAGAAGGTGGAGCGCGCAGAGAAGGAAGAGATGGGCCGGCTGTACAACGAGCTTCTTAAGCAGCTCAAGACAGCTGAGGAAGAGAAGGAAAAACTCCAGGTGTGAGGCCGGCCCCACTTAACTACAGAACTACCGAAATATAGAGCCACACGGATCCATCCGCGTTTGGATGGCGGAAAACTTGAAGCCCGAATCTGTTCGAGAGCGGAGCGGGGCGTACACGATTTCAAATCACAGGCAACATGGAGCTATGCATGTGGGTTCGAGGGGGTCGCACATTGGTCAGCTTTCGGTGTGTCTCTCTTTTCAATAACGAAAACGAACAACTCGTCCACAGGGCCCATGTGCAAGGTGGTCGACCTTTCTCAAGCGTGATAACAACTCAACGTAGGCGGACGGACACGAATTTACTTGTCGTATAATTCGAATGTACCAGCTGAGTCGGGGGGAATTGTTGTTTGTGTTATCTGCAAAAAAAGCGTTCACAGGCAGATTATCTTGGAGAAAGGGTAAAACCAATAGACCATCCAGCATTCAGACATTGATCACTCTGTCAGCTGACTGAGAGTGGTCTATTAGTTTAGCCTTTATCTAGTAGATAATCTGTTGAATCCTTTGATTTGGCCTAACGGGCGTGGGGGGACGACCGAAGCTGTACGCCCTCCTTGAGAAGCAGAAACGGGAACAAGGGCCACGTTCGTGACGTTCGTGAGCCAGCTGACAATTTTTAGTATCGAAGAGGACACCGCCGAGAGCATCCAGCTGGTGAACTCCTCCGTGCTGCTGACGGGCAGGCTCGCCACCGAGGCGAGCAGGGCTTCGGCACTCGTCGGCGACGTGGGCGACTCGTACCTCGGGTTTCGGCGAGGGTTCTCCCTGGTGCGGCGGCTGGTTAGTTCCGCCGGCTTGTCGAAGCGGGCGAGCCGCCGGGCCTCTGGCCCACGGAGCGCCGGGAGATCCGCTCGCTGTCACTGCCGCTGCTGCTGTCGCTGTCGCTGCCGCCGCTACCGCGGCCGCTGCTGCTGCGGCGGTCGTCCTCGCCACCGCCCACATCGGCCGTGCCGGTCGATGTGGTAGATGGGGCGACGCTCGCGCCCTCCTTGCTCGAGGGGGCGCCATCGCCAGCGTCGCCCGCGCCCGACTCCTGGGGCGCGGGCGGCGGCGCCGGCGGCGCTATGCGCGCGGGCGGCCCCGCGGGCCCCGGGGCTGCCGTCGTGCCAAGGTTGAAACGTGGTCCTCCATCCACAAGTTCTCCCTTTGTCCTCCCTCT